TCCCACATGCCGCGGAGCGGCTGGGCCCGTGAGCCATGGCCGCTGAGCCTGCGCGTCCGGAGGCTGCGCGTCCGGAGCCTGTGCTCCTCAACAGGAGAGGCCACAACAGTGAGGGGCCCGCGTACCGCAAAAAAATAAAAGAAAGAAAGAAAAAAATATATTTTAAAATTTCTCTTGCGATGGCTTCTTTGAGCCATGTGTTACTTAAAGTGTGTTGCTTAATCTCCAAGTATTTAGGGAGTTTTCCAGTTATCTTTCTGTTACTGATTTCTAGTTTAATTTCCTTGTGTTCTGACAGCATACTTTGTATGATTTCAGTTCTTTTAAATTTGTTACAGTGTGTTTTGTGGACCAGAATGTGGTCTATCTTGGCCTAAGCTGTTTTTCAAGGAGAACATTACTAAGGAGTCTGGGTCCTATGCATTTGCTCTTAATTCTGAAATGAAGTGCTTCTCTTCCTTGGTCCTGGCACATTATTTGGGCCAGTCTCTTACAAAAGAACCTCTGTCTATGAGCTGTTGACTCCAGAGCTATACCTATAGAGGAGAAGCATACAGAGATTGGAGTAAATGATTAAATAATTTTAATGGTCATTTATTAGACACTTACTGTTTGCCATCACTTTACATTTATTATTTCAGTAAGTTTTCCAAATAGCCCTATAAGTTGAAAGAATTTTTATTATCTTTTTACAGATAAGGAAACTGAGGTTCAGAGAGATTGATTTACACAGAGTGATACTGATATAGGTACTAGCAGGAAGAGTCAAAATCGGGTCCATCTGATTCTGAAGCCCGTATTCTCAGAAACAATGTTAAAAACAGACACATGAGATCCCAGTTCAAGCCAAACTCTAATCCATGGCAGAAATGGAAAACTGGAAGTTTGCTAAAGGAATATTTGTATAATGCTGTGCCTTTTATTGGTTTCTCTCCAAAATCAGTATCTCCAACAGTTTTGGTGCCTTTAGCAGCAAGCATTCCAGTAGTAGTGCTTCCTAAGAGCACCTGTCTTGGAGTAAAATGTAGGCTGTATTTATCTAACTTGGAGTTTCCCAACCAGGAATGATTTTGATCCCCAGGGAACATTTGACAATGTCTGGATACATTTTTGGTGGTCACAAGTGGGTGACTACTGGCATCTAGTGGGAAGAGGCCAGGGGTACTGCTAAACATCCTACAGTGCACAAGACCCACCCTACCCCCTAAACAAAGAATTATCTGACCCAAAATATCAATAGTGGAGGTTGAGAAACCCTGAGTCTAGCTTGTTCCATTCTGTTATTACTGAGAAAACCTTGATCCCTCAGAAATCCCTCAGCATTCTGTCAGGATTTGGTTTCCAAGGCTAAGTGCCTCCTATGTAAATACTTTGTGGGTCAGTCCATTAATTCATTCTGGCACATTTCCTGTACCTTGAGCTTAGTAGCCAGAGGCCTGTTAAATGGTTGGGCTTTTTTTTTAATAGGGTGCTACTTTTTCTTCCTGATGTTTCTTGAGAGACAGGCTCAGTTGGCCTGCAGCTCTTACAGAAGAGAACCTGGTGACAATAATCTGTTGCTGGCATCTTTAGCTCCCTAATCTATGTTTACGCGGCACTGAAAATCAACTCTCCCTGCTGCCAGGCCCCATCCCTCAACACTCTGGCACCGCTGGCAGAGAATACCTCCCTAGTTTCTTCCACACAGTACAACCATACATGATTATTTTATTGCACAGCTGTTTTCCAGAAGACGTTTCCTGAGGCATGGATATACAGGATGCTTCTGGAGCTGTGAGTTGGAGCCTCAGTCATTTCTGTTCCAGTTGCAGATATACCCACAGCGCTCTTAAAGCATCTGGTATTTTCCTTAACTGTTTTCCTGTTTGTAGCTCTCGTCCTCTCCCCCAGATTTTAAGCTCCTACGATATGGGGTTTGTTTTTTCAATTTTTTTCGTATCCTGTCTTAGGAACTAGCATTTCTTTCATCATATACTAAGAAAATCAACTTGCCTTCTTCCATTTTGGGTTATATGCTTTTCTGTTAAAAGTTGGAGGAAATTATAAGGAACTAAAATCATTTGAGAGAGACTGGTGGTCAGAGGTTGATATCAACCATCTAGATAAAGATAAGCAAGCCAGAGGAACAATTCATAACCTCAATGGAATTGAGCCTGGTTCCAAATAAAACTGAACAATTCTTTCCTGAGTAGTGGACCTTGGAATTTAAAAAGTTATTTTCATTATCAAGGAGGCCTAGAAAACTCAAGAAAGTTCCTATTAAGGAAGTCCTATAGGGGAACTTCCCTGGTGGCGCAGTGGTTAAGAATCCACTTGCCAATACAGGGGACATGGGTTCGATCCCTGGTCCAGGAAGATCCCACATGCTGCGGAGCAACTAAGCCTGTGTGCCACAACTGCTTGAGCCTGTGCTCTTCAGCCCGCGAGCCACAACTGCTGAGCCCGCGTGCTGCAACTACTGAAGTCCGTGCACCTAGAGCCCATCCTCTGCAACAAGAGAAGCCACCACAATGAGAAGCCCGCACACCACAACGAAGAGTAGCCCCCGCTCGCCGCAACTAGAGAAAGCCCTCGCGCAGCAACCAAGACCCAACACAGCAATAAATAGATAGATAGATGGATAGATGGATAAATAAATAAATTTATTTATTTATTTACAAAAAGAAAGTCCTATAGGCAGCTTACCCTCCTCATGACCCAGAGGTTCAGCAAAATTTCCCAAGTCAGATATCATTATTACAGAATTTTCTGTAAAGTTTAAGCAAAGGCATATATTTACCTCATTTAAGTGATATGCCACAGGGCCCTCAATAGGGATTTTTTTTTTTTTTTTCTGTGTTGGGTCTTCATTGCTGTGCACAGGCTTTCTCTAGTTGCGGCGAGCGGCGGCTACTCTTTGTTGCAGTGTGTGGGCTTGTCATTGTGGTGGCTTCTCTTGCTGTGGAGCACGGGCTCTAGGCGTGTGGGCTTCAGTAGTTGTGGCACGTGGGCTCAGTAGTTGTGGCTCACGGGCTCTAGAGCACAGGCTCAGTAGTTGTGGCACACGGGCTTAGTTGCTCCACGACATGTGGAATCTTCCCAGGCCAGGACTTGAACCTGTGTTCCCTGCAATGGCAGGCGGATTCTTAACGACTGCGCCACCAGGGAAGCCCCCTCAATAGGGATTTGAGGTCAGTGGGTCATTGACAGAACCCTCAAATGCTGTCTTTCTTAGGCCTTCAGAGAGATCATGACCATTTTGAACAATGTCTTTGAACCTGCAAGATTATAAAGAATGTATTGTTTGGATGGTATTGGTTTATCTAAAACAGTATTTCTCAACCTTTATTTTATCATTACCTTCCTAAGGAGCCTTCTTAGACATCTTTTTCCCTAATCACCCCCCTCCCATGAAATTTTAATATCACAGATAATGCTGTGTATCTGTTCATGTACTGCAGTACTTTGGCAGGGATTGGGGATTGTACTCTCTAAGATTTTTCCCCCACCATGAACAGTTTTCACCCCCATGGGGGCAGTCCTGCCCATGTTGACGATATGTTAATCTAGAAGTATCATCATCTTGGGAATGAGTTGTTTGTACCTTTCTTAACAAATTGAAACAGGGACAAGGACTCTATCAGTAAACTAATGTTAAAAAAGAGTCTTCTCATGCAATGGCCTGAAGCAACTGAGGAAGAGTGAGAAGACTACTTTTCTCATATTTCATAGCTTATATGGAGGACATTTTCTCTCTGAACAACCTCTTGACCATCTGAGGAAAGAACAGGGAAACACCAGGAGTAGCAGAGCAATAAATGCAGTGCTCTAAAAGGAGGGAAAAAAAAAAAGACAAGACCCTCTTGCAGTGAAATGCAGAGGAGGAAAATGGTGATACTGAAGAATCTGGGTATAGAACTGTCCATTGTTCCAAGGCTAGTCAGCTCTAACAAGTTCAGTTTCTCAGTCAGAGTTGATTTGCAGCAGAGAATACCATTTAGGCTGTGTAGCACATAAGAATGTTCTATTCTCCCAAGAGGGTTTGGCTCTGTCTGATCAGAAGGGTGGGTGTGTATGAAATGCACCTCGGAAGGAGGAGGAGGAAGAGATGACATGTTCAAGTAAAATGAAATACAACTGCAAATTAAAGTGTCACCCTGTTTTAAAAAAATCCCTTTTTTATTTAATTGGTTACCAAGGAAAAAAATGTCATACAGAAGTGTATGTCTCAGGGAAAGTTAAACTGTGAGATGTTACAAGTGAATCTAGATTCAAGGAAGTTCTCCTGGGGTGGGGCAGGGCAGGAGTTATAAAATACTGCCTTAATAAAAATATTCTGAGGGGGAAAAGCTAGGCTCATAAATTTCTATTGTGTTACATGCCAGAGGTCCAGAAGAGATTAACAAATATTACCTCATTTGTTCTTTGCTGTCTCTGTCTATCCTATCAGCTGAATGCTGGCTGCCTCTTCCCTGGGCGAAGCTTCCTTTTGAGATGTTTTATTAGGAGGAAGGTCATATACAAAGGAGATGCTTTCTCCCAAAGGGTGCTGCTTACCACAAAGACATCCAGGGACTGAATGCTTTTCTGTGTTAATGGTGTCCTACCATTTTTCATGTGTCTTTCCCAGAATTTTTATGAACACCCATTTGTCTCTTTAGATTGTGAGCCTACCAGATAGGATATATACAGTACGTGCCACATTGTTGGCACTCAGTAAATGTTATGTAATAATGGGAAGGGGGGCTGATTTATATTATACTATACTATACTATACTATACTATACTATACTATACTATACTATATTGTATTATACTATATTTACATGTAGAATTGTTCTTGAGAAACATGTCTGGTTTCTCTGAGATAGAGACTTGACAGGACTTGTCAGCTTTCTTCAGCCTTAGTTGTGATTCTTCCTTTTCTCCCTTTTCTACTAATCCTAGTTTTGTCTCATGTTTGCAATGGAAACATATAGATAAACACTATAATGTGCTCTCTTTGTCTTCTCCCCCACCAGGGGCAGTGATTGGTGATGGACAGTCTGCCGTGGCCAGTAACATTGCCAATACTACCTACCGGCTCCAGTGGTGGGACTTCACTAAGTTTGACCTCCCAGAAATCAGTAATGGTAAGCCAAGGTAGAACTGGGGATACTGGTGGAAGGTCTGACTCTTACTGGTGAGCCAGAGCTCAGAAACCCACATAGCACTGGATTTTTCATCGCCTTGTTGAGCAGCTGACTGCCGTGTGCCATTTCTGCAGTTCTTCTCTGACTCTCGTTAAGCAATTCAGCAAACGTGTATTGAGCACCCACCCTGAGCAGTGAACAATGCTTTGGTACAGTGATCAGAACAATGCTAAGGTGGACACCAAAATGAAGATATCTGCCCCAGGAGTTTACCAACTAGTAGTTCATTGTCGCAAGCCTAGAAGTTTGGGTGGAACTCAGAGGAAGAGGAGAAGGGAGTGTAGAAACTGAGAGCCAGACCCTTGAGGAAAGACTACAGTGATGATAAACTCATTTATTAATCTAGATCTGAATAGAACAAAGGGAGTGGCCTGATTGATGTGTGATTTACAAACATGTCTGTCTGTCAGTCCGTTTTCCCAGCTTCTACGAGTCCTCAACCCCATGCCCCAGTTGTTCGATTGAAACCACATCATTTTTTCAAAATTAATTAATTAATTAATTTATTGGCTGCGTTGGGTCTTCTGTTGCTGTGTGCGGGCCCTCTCCAGTTGAAGCGAGTGGGGGCCACTCCTCGCCGTAGTGTGAGGGCTTCTCACTGCCATGGAGCACAGGCTCCAGGCGCTCAGGCTTCAGCAGTCTTGGCACACGGGCTTCAGTAGTTGTGGCTCGTGTGCTCCAGAGCGCAGGCTCAGCAGTTGTGGTGCACGGGCTTGGTTGCTCCGCGGCATGTGGGATCTTCCCGGACCAGGGCCTGAACCCATGTCCCCTGCATTAGCAGGCGGATTCTCAACCACTGCACCACCAGGGAAGCCCAATCACAGCATTTTAGGCATCTCATTTCACTTTCTATCTGATGACGGACTCTCACACATCCTTGGGAAGTAGTGGTTCAGCCTCTGCTTGAACACTTCAGATAGGTCACACTGTCTGATGAGTTGGCCCTAGTCCATCACTGCTAAATTCCTGTTCAAATGTTTTTTCTTATACCCAGCCACCATTTCCCTTGCTGTCACTTCCTCCCATTGGTCCTAGTTCTACCTCTGAATCTCCATAGAATAAGTTTAATGACGTCTCTTCTAAGTGACAGTTCTCAAGCTATTTGAAGATAAACTGCCACTTCCCTTTAAATCATTCTTTTTGGGCCAGAATTCCTGAGATTCCTTTTACGATCTGGTTTTCAAATCCTTGACAGTTCTGCTCATTTCCTCTTTAGGCTTTGAGGTGGCAGAACAACGTAGAACACTCCAGATGAGAGCTGTCCAAAACAGCGTACAATGATGGTTTGGACAGTGTTAGTTCAGCTTAAGATTTCAACAGCTTTTTCTGAAGCCACTATTGAGTTTGCAGTCACTTAAAATTCCTTGATGGGACTTCCCTGGTTGCACAGTGGTTAAGAATCTGCCTGCCAATGCAGGAGACACGGGTTCGATCTCTGGTCCAGGAAGATCCCACATGCCGTGAAGCAACTAAGCCCATGCGCTACATCTACTGAGCCTGCACTCTTGAGCCTACGAGCCACAACTGCTGGGCCCGTGTGCTGCAACTATTGAAGCCTACGTGCCTAGAGCCCACACTCTGCAACAAGGGAAGCCACCGCAATGAGAAGCCTGCTCACTGGAATGAAAAGTAGCTCCTGCTCACCACAACTAGAGAAAGCCCGTGCACAGCAACGAGGACCCAATGAAGCCAAACATAAATAAATAATAAATAAATGTATTTATTTATTAAAAAAATACTTGATAACTATTAATAAACCAAGACTTTACTGTCCTGTACTTACTTGTGCAGTTCGAATGTTTTAAAAACCAAAGGTTTGTATTTGTTTCTGTTAAGTTTTATCTTAATAGTGTCAATTGCTCTTCTTAGTTCCTGCCTCTCAACATTTTTTTGAACTTTGATTCAGCCCTTTTTTTCCCAGCCTTACATCATCTTCTAATTTGATAAACATATTTTCTCTCTTTTTTTTTTTTAACACTAAGCACTTTAATTCTTTTTCTTTTTTTTTTTTTTTTTGGCTGCATAGGGTCTTAGTTGCAGCATGAGGGCTCTTTTGTTGTGGCGGGAGTGCTTAGTTGCCCCGAGGCATGTAAGATCTTAGTTCCCCGACCAGGGATTGAACCTGAGTCCCCTGCATTGGAAGGTGGATTCTTAATCACTGGACCACGAGGGAAGTCCCTCTGTCTTACTTTGTTTTTCTGGTTTTTAAAAAAATATTTATTTATTTACTTATTTGGTTGTGCCAGGTCTTAGTTACGGCAGGCGGGCTCCTTAGTTGAGGCATGAGAACTCTTAGTTGCGGCACGTATGTGGGATCTAGTTCCCTGACCAGGGATCGAACCCAGGCTCCCTGCATTGGGAGTGCAGACTGTTTTTTTAATAAAAATTAATACATTTATTTATTTATTTTTGGCTGCATTGGGTCTTCGTTGCTGTGCAAGGGCTTTCTCGAGTTGCGGTGAACAGGGGTTAATCTTCGTTGCGGTGCGTGGGCTTCTCATTGTGGTGGCTTCTCTTGTTGCCAGGCACGGGCTCTAGGTGCGCAGGCTCAGTAGTTGTGGCTCGCAGGCTCTAGAGCACAGGCTCAGTAGTTGTGGCACACGGGCTTAGCTGCTCCGCGGCATGTGGGACCTTCCTGGACCAGGGCTCGAACCCGTGTCCCCTGCATTGGCAGGTGGATTCTTAACCACTGCGCCACCAGGGAGTCCCGGGAGCGCAGACTCTTAACCAGTTGTGCCACCAGGAAAGTCCCCCCTCTGTCTTAACTTTGGATTGCTAGCAAAACTAGTGCATCAGTCAGGACTTTGCACCAAGTGTTGTGGTATGTTCCTGTGGGCTTGCTCTGTGTCAATTTTGGTTCACGAATTTGCACCTAGGCTTGGTTGTTCGCATGTGAAGCCCATATTTTTCTATCTTGTCTATAGGGTATTGTAAGAGTTGGTCAGATACCTTAAAGTAATCAAGATAGCCCCTTCTATGGCATTTCCCAGTATGCCAATCTTGGTATCCTTATCAGACCATGAAAATGAGGTCAATTTTTTCATGTCCTGATCTTAGTGAAACCTCAGTAGCAATCATTTTTTTCTAAGTGCTTTTAAGCCGCATGTTCAATAATCTATTCTTTACTAGAAATCAAATGCAATCTACCTTTTCCCTTATTAAATACTGTTTGCTTGTTTATAGATTTCTGGCCCAGGTGTTTGCCATAATTTTCCCTAGGTACTTTGTTGCGTTATTTTATTTGCTTCGTTTCTTTTATTATAATCTGAAATACATTTACCAAAGATTTTTAAAATGTAAAAGGATATACAGTGAAAAGTTTCCCAATCCTGCTCCCAGCTACCCACCACTCCACCCCATAGGCAACCACAATGAGCAGTGTCTTGCATACCTCTTCAACGATATCGTATGTATATACAAGTACATGCAAATATTTGTTTTTCCACCTCTACTTAACCTAAATGGTAGCATGTTATACATACTTTTCTTTCTGTACCTTGCTTTCTTTACTTTATGTCTTGGTGATCTTTCCGTATCAGTACATAAAGCATTTACTCAGTTCTTTTTTAATGGCTGCCTAGTATCCCACTGTCCTTTATATATATATATACACACACACATATTTATTTATTTATTTATGGCTGTGTTGGGTCTTTGTTGCTGCACGTGGGCTTTCTCTAGTTGTGGCAAGCGGGGACTACTCTTCGTTGCGGTGCGCAGGCTTCTCATTGCGGTGGCTTCTCTTGTTGCAGAGCACAGGCTCTAGGCATGCGGGCTTCAGTAGTTGTGGCACACAGGCTCAGTAGTTGTAGCTTGCGGGCTGTAGAGCGGAGGCTCAGTAGTTGTGGCGCACGGGCTTAGTTGCTCCGCAGCATGTGAGATCTTCCTGGACCAGGCAGGCCGATTCTTAACCACTTTGTCACCAAGAAAGTCCTCCCACTGTCCATTTTTTAACCAGTTATTTTTTAACCAGTGTTCTGCTGAGGAATTTTTTTTTTTTTTTTTTTGTCTGCTCCGGGTCTTAGTTGTGGCATGTGGGATGTTTGCTGTGGCATGCAGAATCTTTAGTTGCAGCATGCGGGATCTAGTTCCCTAACCACGGATTGAACCCAGGCTACCTGTGTTGGGAGTGTAGAGTCTTAACCCCTGGAACACCAGGGAAGCCCCTCTGCTGAGGAACTTTTAAGTTGTTTCCAGTCTTTTGCTATACAAACCATGCCACAGTTTGTCATTTTGCATATGTGCAAGTATATCATAGGATAAATTCCTAGAAATGGAATTGTAGGGAGGAAGAATATGTAGATTCGTGATTTCGGTAGATACTGCTAAATCACCCTCTGTAGAGATGATACCAATTTATACACTCCCTTGTGGTTCATGAGGGTGCATGTGTCCCTAAACTCTTGCTTGTGCTATCATATTTTGGGGTATTTACAAATCTGATGGTAAAAAATACTATGTAGGTGGGACTTCCCTGGTGGTCCAGTGGTTAGGGCTCTGCACTTCCACTGTTGGGGGCAAGGGTTCAATCCCTGGTCAGGAAACTAGGATCCTGCAAGCCGCGTGGTGTAGCCAAAAAAATTAAAAAAAAAAAATAGTATGTAGGTATTTTAAATTTGTATTTCTCATATTATAAACCAGGTTGTGTGGCTCTGCATACATTTAGCCACATGTGTTGCCTTTTCTTGGCTTGTCTCTGTGCTTTACCTATTTTTTTTTTTATTGTGTTGTTGATCTTTTCCTTACCAGTTCTACAGGAGCTCTTTATAAATCAGAAAATTAACTCATAATAGGAGTTTCCTGGTTGTCATTTGTCTTTTGACTCTGCTGAAGGTTATTTTTGTCATAGAACTTATTTTAAGTAGTCAGAATTATCCAACTTTCCTTTTATGGTTCCTAGATTTTGTGGCAGCATCAAGAAGATCAGTTAGTACTTTTAT